AGACATTTTGTCCCGTAACGCTCGCCGTACTTTTGGGGGGGAGAAGCGGTGGGGGGGGGGAGATGTTCATGTTGCTGCGGTCTGCAGTCTGGACGTTAGATGTCGCTAATTATTACACACTGTAGCTTTAAAGTATAGTTTGTCTTTATTTTGAAAATATTGACATTAATGTGCTTGTTAATTTTCCTGTTGGAACAGTGTAGATTGACCCTGAGGTTCTGTCGCCTATTCCACTTTCGGCCACAGTGTACATTAGTTATTGCCTGGCCGCCCTTATAAAAATTTCTGGCTACGCCTCTGTTAAAGAAGATTATCATTTTATCATGAACATGTACAGACCTGATACCTTCAAATTAAAATATGATTTATCATAAGTATATCAGTTTGCATATACATGTAGCCTAAACTTGAAGCCTCTAATCGAGCAGTTTTGCAGCATGTAATTTCAAGCCTTTGCTCTACTGGCTCTAAACTTCTTAATGACATGCTTCTAAACTCTGTGAGCCACATAAGCGCATGGCTGAAGTCAAAAAGAGAGAGAGAGAGAGAGAAACGGTCCAGCCCCTCTGAAGATTTCCTGTCTCAGGAAAGGCGCACATAGTGAGTCATATAGGGCAAGTCCTGCCTGGTGTTTACTCTTCTCTCACACGGAGCTGTGAAGGAGCATCAGGCGCTAGGAACCAAGAGAAACTCGGGTCTTTGGCTCCCCTGTCTCAGTCCAATTAATGAGCGATAAGGGGGCGCGTGGTCCGGTTCTACATGAAGCTGCTTCGGTTTCCCGTTTTCTGCTGTGGAGCGATCCTCCTCGGTGCTGCGCTGCTGCCGGTGGAGACGCGTGAGTTCAACTTACTGACACTTGAAAGTTTTAACAAAGAACTTCCTGATTTTTTTCAAACAAATTGCGACATTACAGGTACAGCTCGGTGTTTTTAGTTCAGACCTTAATTGCGCCGGTTTAAATGAAATAGAAAAGCTTAAGTAAACAGGGGGAGGGGTGTTTTTTTGTTTGTTCTTTTAACTAATCAAAGTTGTTGTTTCTGTCGAAATCCCTCATAGTTTTTTTTTACTGTATATTTTAAGAAAATGTGACTTTGTTTGTCGTATATAACACTATGTAACTTGAGGCGACATGTTTTGTAAATATGGTGCAGCCTGGCAGTGCGCAGCTGGAAGCGCACGCTCCTGATTGGCAGGGGGCGGGGTTTCTAGTTAGGTTAGTTAGTTTTAATAATATGGGCAAAAATACCCAGCTTTACTTCAGCGTTATATTTTGCATTTCCTCAGAGAAAAACTTAAAACTCTACAATAATTATTTTATATATTTTATATTATATATTTAACAATAGCCTTAAACTGCTCTGTGAAATTCTCTATCAGTGGTCACCATCCTGCCACCATTTCTACAGGTGCGGGGCCATCTAGCTCCGCATAAAACATTATATACCTATAATACATACAGTGGCAGCAGTACTACTATCAGTATTCAAAACATTTTTATTTTTCATACGTTATTAATTACTTGACAACAAAAACACTGTGGTTAATTATGCACATCAATATAATAACATTAAAGATCATAAGTACAGAATTCATTCTCTTTTCAGAACTAGATTTTGTTATATTGGGTAAAGAGAAAATGCAAGTCATGTAGGAGTCTTCAGTGAATCACAGATGAATAACTATTTTAATAGAAACTTAGTAGATAAAAGATTTTTGTAGATATTAGTACTTGTAAATATCAATTTTATGCAGAATGATTATTGATAAAAGTAGGTTAGTAATGACAATGGCAAAGATGTTCACCCCAGAACTCAAACCTCTAAGAACTTTATCCACTATAACTTATAACTAGGAAGCAAGGATGTTTAAATATGTGTCTATTTGTTAGCAAAGGTTGGAGGAAATTATAGTTAGTTTTTATATGGAAAATAAAGACTAACTGTACATTTTCTGGCTACGCCTCTGCCTTTCTAACACTCTCAGGAGACGTCTCAGCTCTTCAAACTATTATAATGAATCCGTGTTTGGGAATATGAGTGTCTTCCACTGTTTCTTTGTGGGCTGCACACAGTGAAATTTTGCAGTCACTGTTGTAGTTGTTTGCCCTGCGATGGACTGGTGACCTGTCCAGGGTGTACCCCGCCTCTTGCCCGTAGGAGATGGGCACCAGCACCCCTCATGACCCCACTTGGGATTAAGCGTGTAAGAAAATAGATGGATGAATGGATGTTGTAGTTGTTCAAACTGATAGTGTTATGTTTCTTATGCTATTCCTCCTGTCTGTTTATTATTTTTAGAAATAATATTTGTATTGCAGGTTTAGGGATCCCCCATGCCAGAGATCACTCTTATACCCTTTATTCTGTCCTCTTTTCACTTGTTCTCTAACATTTAAATTAACTCTCATCATGTTTTTAATTAGGATGTTTCATTTAGATACATTAACATATTAAAAATACAATTTGAAGGAATACCATTTCAGTAAGTCACATTTTTGGATGCAGGATTACGTCTCAGTCGTGTCCTTTGGGAAGATAATTCACCTGCATGAGCTGCTTCTGCAGTGTGCCCCAGGGCAGCTATGGCTAAAATATAGGTTGCCAACTTCTATGTGTGAATGGCTAAATAAAATGTAAAATGCTCACCTGACTTTGAAAAAAAAAATTATAATTTAATTGTTATGGTCTGGCAGTTATTTCAGCAAAGTAGAAACACAAAGGAAGGATTTTGTAGACCCTATCCTAGAACCAATGGTATGGAAGCTGTTCTTCAGTTTTGGCCCATTTGGCTAAATTGTGCCTAAAGGACATGTCAACCTGGAACAATGCTGCCTCTAAATCCATTGTGGATCATATATATTTCAACTGATTGAGTCCTAATTGGCTACAGTTAAAGTAAAGATGTTGAGAAATAGAATCTGAAGTGTCTCTTAGATTTGTATGGTGTTTTTTTCTGATCATTTAAAAAATAATCTTTAACAGAGGCACAAAAAATTTGTTTTGTTTTTTTTCAGCAGGAAAAATATCTTATCTCTTACCTTTACACTTGTACTATAACGTCACATTTAGACAAGATTGTTATGGAGATACTCTTGTTTTATTAAAGTTGTGTTTTTTCGGGCATGAATTGATTTTGAAATCATGTGGCCTTTAAAGGCAAAGTAGCCACTGAAAAGTCCGCCATATGATATTTATTATTCATGATGATTTTCTTAACTTTATCTGCACCATTTTTGATTTTTGAGTTGATATACTTATTTCATATACTAAATATATTTTTAGTCAGTCTAATCCTATATATTCTGAGTCTACTTAAAGATTAGTATGCTTATTTAAGTTTTTTTATATAGAAAAAGAGCTAATATTTTTTAGTTATTATTAGTTATTATTATTAGTATATTATAGTATATTATTATGCATAAAAAAATTCCAGAAGCTTTTCAATCCTTTTAAGTAGGTTTTATTATTATTTAAGGAAACATATAATGTGATATTTCAGGTTCTTCCTTCTGCAAAAAGACTATTAGCAAATCTTTAACATCAATTTTAAAGTTTTATGCAATATTTCTTCAATTCTGGCTTCAAATCAGGTGTGTTTGTGCATAAATCTCTGCAAAATTTTCTCTGGGTGTGCTTTGGTGGCGCAGTGGTTAGCGCACAAGACCCCTGTATGGAGGCCTTAGTCCTTGTCGCAGGTGACCCGGGTTCAAATCCGGCCACTATTCATACCACATGTCTCTCCCTTCTCTCATACCCCCTTTCCTGTCAGCCTACTGTCCATAAAACGGGCCACTATTGCCGTAAAAACTATATAAAAAGAAAAAATAGAAAAAAAAAATGTTATTCTGTAAATGTCGTAAATTACCACAACTTGTTTTCTAATGTGGGACAAGAACAAACTATACTGAATTAAATGAACTAGGTGCAGGAATAGTTAAATGATACACATGTCCAGTTATTTAATGCTAATCCGTGATGAGGTCTTTAAAACCCGAACCAAAGAGCCGACCCACGTATCTCTCAATTGCCTTTAATAGGCTGTGTGCAGCATAATACGATGGAATAGGGAGGCCGAATTTCCTGCTCAATCCTACGGATGTGACATCAGTTGATGATGCATGCGCCTTCCTCACAGCTCTGATAATGGAAAGTGCAGTTTTTTCACTAGTAGTGGAAGACTTGCAGCCTGGTGCTTGTTGCTGTCTTAAAATATGTGCATTGGTCTTGTAGTAAATAGCATTATAGCATCACCAGTGCAGTGCTGGGACAACAGTTTGTCCACTTTGTGCCGGCTTGGCTGGTGGCTGCAGTTACCCACAGCGCCAATCGTGTCACTCGTGAGTCTCATTTCCTCATCCGGCCTTTAGTTCCTTTAAGCTTTTTTGCATCACTTCTGCGTAAAACACATGTTTTAATTTACTTAAGCGTTTAAAATTGTGTAATACATCCTACACCGCTGGTTCCTCAACATTAATAGGTTTAATGTCATTAACAATGTATAAACTAGTTGGAGGTCAGCTTAATAGTTGATGCTGACAACATGCTGCTATATTATAGGACATCCATTGCATCATGCCTCTTTAATGGTTTGTTTCAAACCAATACTTGCTGCAGGGTGAAGTCCTCTTAACTCGTCATGTCCCAGATTACTATCCTAACATACTGTACCTAAATTCTCGCTAACTAACCAGGTGTATTTGTGCAGTTAGGCTTCAGCATGTTTGAAATGTTTTGTCAAAGGCTTTATACTCCTCCTTATCTTCCTATCTCTCTCATCATTTGACCAAGTCACCCTGCTGCCAGGAAATTTTACCTTCATCTGTCTCAGACTCAGTCCCAGAGGCACCAAGTAGCTCTGGCTGCTACTAATCCCCTTTCCCCCCACTACTCTGCAATTATATGCAGCCCTGGGTGACAATTACCACCATTCATCCCTTCCATAGCCCGCCTCCTGGGTTAAAATGACATGCTCTTTGAGAGGAGCTCTTCTAATGATATAATTACTCCAGCTCAGCCACCTTCCTACCACTCAGGCATTGACTATAACCCCCCCTATCCTCCCTCTTCATTCCTGATCCACTTCAAAAAAACACCTCTGGAGCCCCCGGGCAAAACTTTAAATTGCTAAGTTATTTCATTTAGTCTGGAGTTCAAGTGATGCATTATGACTTTGAGAGTTTATTCCTCTGAGGCGAGCTCCAAAAACAATGTCTGCCTGCCATCTCCTGAGACACGTTTCTTTTTGGATCTCCAGAAACAAGATGTCAGAAATCCATTTCACTGTAAACTCTTCTGCTCTACCCCTCATGTTTTTTTCATTGGCTCTGCTCTTTTACTCTCAGCCCACCCTCCAGCACGGCCGAGCTGACACAGAAGGATTTTTGTACCAGAGTTTGGGAGAACATTATGAAATCGGTGTGAAGGAGTTTTGCTGGCAAGCAGCGTGCTTTCACTTACACTTCCTCGTCTAGAAGAACTTAGCACTTCTTGAACACATGATCAGCTACCCATAGTTCTCATCCTTCCCACAATGCTTTTATGAACTTGAAAGGAAAGAAACCTACATACTTTCAGTATGGCTGTGCACTGCATTCGCTGAGCAGGTTCAAGTCTTGTGCACTCAGCATACAGCTGAAGTGTGGTTGTGTGGCTTTGCTTTAGCACAGGGTGCAATCACATGCCTGAGGCCTTATTCTCTTTAACTTTTAATATTGTCTTGCTTCACAGCACAGACATCAGGAAGTAGAAGCTTTTCCCACATCGCTCAATTTGTCTCTTGATTCTTTTTAATCAAGATAGCAGCATTTTTTGAAAAATGTTTGTCACTCTTTAGACTATTTTTATCGTGTCACAACATGGACTTCTGTTTTTTCTATTTTGGATTTTATAAAGTTGTAACAATTTGAAAGAAACTGATGCAATGATTCTAAATATTTCCAAGAGAGTAACTCTAAGTTTTGCAATATTTGTTATCTTCCCTCCCAAGTCACTACATTATAGCACTTCTGCAAGTTGACCTGCAAGTTTATTTCAACTCACAGCATGTCACATCTAAGCATTTTACAGCAACAGTCAGGTTGGAATAAAGTTTCCTTCAAGAAAAATCAGTTAAAGAAAAATCTTAAAAGTAAAATTCGCAATTCATCCTTCTTCTGCATTTTATCATCACTAATTTAAAATGATCATTTAGACGATAAATCATGATTGCTATCATGACTACAAATGTATCACGTAAACAATACGATAAATTCTCATTCCTAGTCTTTGCACATCCAAAAATTTTTTGTTGTGTTTGTTTGGGTTATAATAGCGCTAATTAACTTATTCCAAATCCCAGTGGGGCAGCAGATTATTTAGGCTGTGGGATTTTCCCTCATCAGAGACAGTCTGGTGAACCATCTCTGGAGACTGTATTTTGTAAATTGTGTTCTGTAGTTAAGACCTGAATGTAAAAGACCAAACTGTTGATGTTCAGGATATGTAGGGTCTGCAGAGAAATATCCAGGCCGTTTCCTGACTCTGCGAGTCTTGGATGGAGCAAGGTCATCCCTGCTGATCTTCACTGCGACCCTTATTGTTTGCTGCTTTTTGGCCCAGTCCTGTTCTGAGGTGAAGCCAAAATTACACATGGATTGACAAAGCATAAAAGAGTACAAAATTTAAAGCTTCAGTAAAATTACAGGGACTAAATTAAATCAATCAAATATTTTCTACATAAGTAGGCTATTTATTATTTTTTATGAACTGAAAGTCTCAATCTATATATTTGTGTTGCCTTAGAATTAGCTAATCTTAATTACACTCACACATCTTTGCGTTACGTTACCACAGAGCTGACAAACTGCTGACTTTAGAGATCGCCATTACACTCTAATGTGACTGGGGCTAGTCTGACCATCAGATAAACTGAAAATCTAACACCGTAGCTTTAAATGTTGTTGTCTTGTCACAAGACACCACTTTTTCCACATGTTTGCTCTGACTTATAAGGCGTCTGGGTTTCAAAACTAAGATGAAAAGCAATGTATTATTTTCCTACCACTTAAGAAACTGCCTTTATTTGTGCTGGCCGATTACTTAATACCCCAATGAAATACATTGAAATATATATGGTTGTAATTTTAAAAGATATTCAAAGGATTATGAATGTGTTTTACATGCACCAAATCACATGCAGTCTAATATACAAGACTGCAGCAGAACACAGTATATACTGATCAAAGCACACAGTTTTCTGAACATGGCTTTATCTGATAGTATAGGTATATAGCTGTTTTTTAAAGTTGCATGCTTAATCAAAATTAAAAACACATTTTCTTACTTAAATTTTATCTAACCTGCAAATAAAAGTATGCAACTTAATTTTCAGTAAGATTATGCCAATGTTGTGAAATAATAAGTTATTTTTAGTTTTAATAAACATCTTTACCAGGGGTGCCAGTATTTATTCATTAATGATGGTTTTTAAGGATGATTCTGTGCAACTAGACCAGGCCATTATAAGGAAAAAATGCTCTGGCATCAGGATGTTATCACTGTATAAATGAATGTTTTCTTCCTTCCTCAAATCATTTATAATCAAATCCTTCTATGTTGTGTTTTTTTTTTTTTTATAATCGCTGTTGGCTTAACATATGTTAAATGGGGGGCCGAGTCATCGGAATGACAAATTAAAGGCTTCTCAGTCAGCAGATGCGTTTGCTTTTCCTGTGTTTGTTGTACTTGCCCGTCTGGCAGTTGTCTCAGGTCTTAGGTGATTATCAAGCCCGCAGGCCCTCATCACACAATCCAGTCTGTCTGACTGATCTGAGCGTGCCTGCTGGCAAAGTCAAGTCTAAACACGACTCTCTGCTATGAAATACCTTAGATTTTCTTCTTTCGCCCTTGATTTTTTTTTAACCTTTTTATTTTGAGACAAACGCTTGTTTTCATCGCTTTTTTCCTCACAAAACTCATATATGATGTTTGTTTACTGTGGTCTTTATATAATAGAAGCATCTTTCCTTCTCATTGCAGTGGGATCGATATTGAAGATAAAACAACTATGCAAGTTTTGTGATGTGAGGGAAAGTAGCTGCCCTGGTAAGGGAGTCTGCCAGGTGGATTGTGAAAAAACAGCCATCTGCGAACACGATAATGAAGTCTGTGTCAGTATTTGGTAAGTGCTGTTTTCACCTTAATTCCTATTATAATTAAGAAAGGGAGCAAATACTTTTCATAGCAGATTAAATGCCATACTTTTCCAGACAGAGTAGGAGTCCAGCAAACAGATGGTAAACTGGGCAAATCTACATATTGGCAATGCATAATCCTGCTCTGTAGTCCTGGATTGTGGGTTCTGAAGGACATTTTAATGAGACGCTGTTGTCCATGTACAATTAGCTTTCTGCTAACTTCAGCTCATGTTATTGCATGCATTTGCAATATAGTAACAAACAGCACAGTGGCCTTCAGCTTTTAACACCAGTATCAATCTGTTTCCTGCTTTGCTTTGAGTCAAATGGGAGGTCATTGATTGGTTTGTAGGCTTTGATATTCCAGTTTCCTCACCCAATTCTGCCACATCCTAGAAAATGTGGGGTTATTGGAGGAAATTAACCTAATTTGTAATCATGAAAAGAAATCAGTACATTTTCATTTTGTTTGTTTACTTCATCAAGGAGGTTTTGTTTTCTGTCATGTTTTTTTTTGTTTTGTTAGCAGGATTACTTGAAAAGTTATTACTGGATTTTGTGAGTGAGTTTCTACCAGAGGTACACCTCATGCTAAGGAATAATCTAGTAATTTTTTGTTAATGATCCAGATTATAATCTGGATACAGGATTTTTATTTTTTTTTTTTAAAGGAAGATAGGGATAGTAATGTAGGAAGGCATCGGACTCAAAAAGGACAGAAGTATTATAGTGAATCCAAAAACACAAGAAAGGAAGTGTTGTTGGTTTGTTGGCTGGATTATTTGAAAAGTTATGATGCATTTTAAGGATTTTTTTTTAACTGAGGTACGGCTCATGCCAAGGAGCAGTTCATTAAAAACGTGGTAATGATCCAGTGAGATTTAGCGGTAGGTGTAAGTCACAATATAGGCTAACATTTGCTGGTCTGCACTTTGTCAGTGCCTTTCTGTTTTGGTATATATCCGTTTAAGGTGAGTAAAAGGTGTATATTATGTTAATGTTCTTAACAACATTGCATATACAAGACATAAATGCTGGTAAGGCTGTAATACTGAAATAGTTTCGCTTCAGTCTTTACCAGGGTAGAAGTCATTTCCTGCCCACCTTGCAGCATACTCTTGCATAATACTATCAACTCTAGATAGAAAAATTTGAATCAATTTGACTGTATGATCTGGTGAACTGTAAAGTGCCTTGAGATGACATGTGTTATGAATTGGCGCTATATAAATAAACTGAATTAAATAAAAAAAATTGAAGAAAAAAAAAGATACATCCAGAGTGGGACACCAGGGCAAAAAATATAGAGCAATAAATTCTATACTTTAGCAGAAATCCTAAAGAAGAAATATTTATCAAATTTAGAAGAAATGGGACGAGCTTCAACAGGCCATTCATGTTCAAAATCCTGCTGTATGATCACACTGAGGTCTTTTTCTGCAAAAACAAGTGGGCCAAAAGGAACCCTTTTCAGTTCTTGACTTGATGGTCAGTCTGTCCATCCGTTTTCCCATCTTAACATCTGTTTCTAACTATATGTGTTTCCTCTACTTATATTCATAATGATCAAATTGAAAAACATTCTCAAAAGGAAAAGGAAAACAAGTTCTGGAAATGTAAGTCTTTCAAAGTCTTGTAAACTTTCTGATATTCTGAAAACAGCTAACCAGAGCTATTAAAGCGAACATACATCAGGTTGATGCAGGATGCAGATGCACACTCAGACTTGCTTCATCCAGAATACCGTATTCTCTGCACTAAAATGGAATGGATTAGAGGAAACTTTTTTCATATATGAACACATTTTTATTGCAATGGGCTGTTTATTCCAACTAAATATGTTCATGTAAATGTAGCTACTCACAGGAAAAAAGGCGTAATTTGTATCCTGTTTAAAGGTTCTAAGCATTAAATCTTTTAAAGTTCTCAGATTAAGGCTGATGGATAAATACTTTGTTTTTCTCTGATTTACCCTTTTCCAGGAGGAAAGACGATGACAATACTACAGTAGAAACTGTGTGTCACAATCCAGTTAATCCACTGTATGGTGTGATTCTGGACGATTATAACAACACCAAGTGTATTATGAAAGAGAAAAAGGACATGGACACAAAGTTCTTCATCTGTTCCTGCAACGATGAAGAGTGTAATGAGAACATCATTTTTAACTCAAGTAAGTTCATTCTTGTATTGTTTTTTTTTGTTTTTATTTTGGGCACTTCATGTGGGGGTCTTCATGTTACGGGTTCTGTTTTTGGTGAGAGGTTCTTTGAGTTTAATTTACACTTTTAAAGGACGATTTCTATGCTTTCACTTTGCCTTCATTGTATTAAGAAACAACCATCTGAATTTTGAAGCTGAAAGCCAAAACCGTTCCAGACCAGGGATCAATTTTCAAATTCGTAATTTTTAGGGATTTTTTCAGCATTTGCAAATTTTGGCCTCAGTTTAATGGCTAGCTAAAATGATTGCTGGCTTAAGGTTCAAAGACTTCAGCCTATAGAGATCATATATCATACATACTCTGATACCAACTACCACATATTTGAGCCATTGCTCCCTTTCTTGCTATTTTAATTTCCAATGCAAGCACTTCTTTTTCTTCCACCCAGCAAACCTTAATTAATATGTCTCCTTTTTGAACCATTGTCTATGTTCAAAAAACCCCAGTGAATCAGGAGTGTCTAAAAGTCTTAAACCTATATGGCACCAACAATCGTTGCACGTTCAAAATTACTCAGATCCTCCTCTTTCCGACTCAGATGCTCCTTTTGAAGTTCAGCAAGTTGTTTTTACCATATCTAGATACCTAAAGGTGGCTAACTAAAGTAGCTAAAACTCATTTGATTAAAGTGGTGAGATTAAACCTAAAGATCATACATGAACATGTTTACCTAAAGCAATCAGATGAAGCATGCTAGGAATTGCAGACCACAGGTCGAGGTTGAAATTTATCGGCTCCCTCAGATGTATCTGCTGCTCTGCAGAGGTGGAAAGAGCGCAAAAATAAGTCACACATGTAAAAGTACAGCAACTTCTATACTATTTTATTCCAGTAGAAGTAAAAATTACCTAAACAAAATGTTTAGTAAGCAGAAAAGAAACTGGTCAATTGTTTTAAAGGAAAAAGGACACGTTGGACTTAAACTGTTAATAAATAACTAAATAAGCAGTTTTATGAAAGAAAATACAGTACAAGAATAAAACACATCAACAAACTTTATTAATATATTTTAACTTACAATATCTGTTTTCTTAAGGTACTTTTCATATGACAATATACAGTTTTGGGAGGTATTGCTGTCTTTAGTGTTCTCTGAAGGTGATCATTTCTCCCATCTTAGCATCCTTCTCTTTGATCAAACCCCTCTGCATCCTTCCTCCTCACCATTGAGGGTAGTTTTCCATCCCCCTCAGAATCTGGTGATTCTGATCTTCATTGTTTTTAGACTCATCCAATAATAATTATAATCTCTAGCTGCAGATACAACTCATATCTTTCTATTGTTGTAATAATATTATTTAGTGTGTGTAAATGCGCACAGTCATGAATTTAAGTAGTTACTCTCAATTCATGAGACTATAAAATCGAAAAAATCATTTAACCCATATGGAGGAGCTATTTTGCAGTGCATATTATGAAATGAGAGAAGGAGTAACATGAATGAAAAACTGAAGAAAAATTGGCAGAAAAGGTTAGAAAGACGAAGAAAATTATATATTTTATGGGTTTATAAAGACAGCAGGAGAAATGATAACTGGAAGAAGGAGAAGAGAGGAAAAATGATTAAAAAAGATTTAGATATTAAGGACTTAGTTCTATACTTTAAGGACTTCTATACAGGAGCATATTACAGGAATTGGGACCACAGTGGGGAGAATGGAACTATGAAACATGCAATCATCCATTTATAAACGCATTCACAAGGCTTAAATATGCCAATGTGGGATTTTTTTTTATAAAAATGTTAATTTATGACACATTTTATCCCCATGTACTTGAAGAAGCTCAAATTGCAAATGACAAGAAACAAATTCATTCTGATACTCTGTGGCCCCTGGGCTACCCTTGCCCAGCTCTGGCCCTTTAACAATAAAAGTCTAGTTTCCCCACTGCATTATAATTTCAAATTAGCATAATCTGTCAGTTTGCATTATCCTTGCAAATTATTTATTGTTTTATAAGTAACATGTTTTTGAAAGTTACTCATATGACTGAATATACCAAGCACTGATGAAAATAGATCAGCATTTGTTTGTATGTTAAACTTCATGCCCTATGTTTATTCAATAACAATAACCGTAATGGGTCAACTTTGTTTCCAGTTCTTATCAGCCTCTCGTGCAAAGTATCATATCCAAACATTTACATGTGTGGGCTGCGATACTATCCGTTTCTCTGATTACAAACAGCCTCAGGACAGATATTTCCTTGTTCTCACCAATGCTGGAATCCCTCGTATTTTGACTACAGCATCTCTCCAGTAACAGCACAGCGGTACATTTCACAGACCTGGCTAAGAACAGTAGAGAGCCAAATTAAAAGCATCTGTGGAGTACAAAACACGTCATGGAAATGCATTTGTGTATTCTGGAGAATGTCTGTGCTGTCGCCGTAAATTTTCAGAACGTATAAAAGGGGAGGTACTGCAGAGAAGACATTTTGGATTAATTAGACATTGAAAAAAACATTAGAAAAATGAAATGATTCCAGTAAATCCAATGAATCAGCCCTTCCTTGTTAGTCCCATCAGATTTCACTGGAAGATGGGGTATTTTTTTAAACCTTTGTTTTACCATAACTGAGCAATAACTTCTGGCAACTGTTCAAGAAAAAAAAAGATGTCCACTATTTTATCATGCATTTTATGATATTTTTATTAATATGTTGTTGTTTTTTTCGCTATATTTAAGATGCAATGAAGCACTGAAAATGTTCAGACTTCTTTATCTTATTTAAATCTTATTTCTACTCTTGATTGTTTTCGATTTCTTGAAAGTTATATATTTTCTTTAGGCCTTGTCTGCATTTACATCTTTTTCCAGACCTTGCAGCTGACAGTAACAGAAGGTCGGATGGTTTAAAGAAAATAAAATTGGAAGTTATAGGTTAGGTCTAATAATTCTGTACAGCAGTAGATCGTTATCTGAAAGTAATTTAAACAGCCATACTAAATAATGTTACAGTAACATTATCGTATTTTCCAGGAACATAAGCCGCTACTCTTTTCTCACGCTTTGTACCATGCAGCTTATAAGAAGCTGCAGCTTTTGTATGGATTTTTCTTAACCACCAGAGGGGCAGGTCAAAGTTGGAAATGAAAGAATAAGGGGCTAATTTTCATTTAGAGCAAGAACTTGCTAGCAGCAGGCATGATGGAGAACAAATGCCCTGAATTCATTTATTTGCCTCATTAAAACTGCTCAACCAATGAAGAGACTGGACTCAACTCCTGCAGAGCAGAAAAAAAGAGCTGATAAAGCCACAGCTTTCATTAAAAGCTCTTACTGCTGCGAGCCAACAAGCTAAAGCCGGGCATACACTGTACAATTTTTTGTCCTTTTCAGGCCGATATTCCTGCGAGAATTACAGCCTCATTGCGCGTCCTGCATCGTGTAGTGCACAGGGAGTAACTGATCAGCCTCTCGCGACCACCTCCTGATCAGGAATTGTAAGGTCGGGAGAAAATCAAACATATTTGAAATCAAGTTGGCCCTTGTGAGGTGTTCGTGAACAAGTCCTGCTGTTGAAGCAGCGCTAAGAGCCAATTTATCAGAACCTCACGCACTGTGCATGTGCAAACAACGGAGTTCTTCTTCTTCCAGATTGACGAGTCAGACCAGCGCCATCTCTCGGCACTGAGTCCAGCATGTGGTTTTTGGATGGTTGAGCAGTTAGATCTTATCAGGCGTCAGGCCGTACAGTGTAAGAACATGCAAAACATTGTGAGCTGTTAACTTTTAAACTCTGTGGTTTCATCGTTCAGTTTGAGCTGTGGCTGCGTGCAATGATTGAAATATCGTACAGTATGCCCGGGTTAACGGGGTTAAAACATTCTTCTTCATCTCTACTCCAGGGGCAATATGTAGAGCTTCCCGTACACGTTTGGTGGGAGACAGTTCAGAAGATATCATCAGCTTATAGACTGGTGCAGCTTATATCTGCACATTTACATTTTTTTTCAAAAAGTTTAGTTGGTGCAGCTTATAGTGAGGTGTGCTCCAGAAAATACGGTATTCTGGAAAATACGGTATTCCTCTATGATTCCTTCACTTCATGCCAACTTTTCAGCTCATAGCTGTTTGGAAGTCAGCTAACTACAGCTTGAAATATCTTTTCTCAATATCAAATGGTGTTTTTTTTGTTGTTGTTTTTTTTATAGAATATTCTATAGAAAACTGTTTTTTGACAGTTAGTTTTTCCATTTGATTTCTATCTGCCTTTTGTTTTTCTGAAACCAAAGGTAGGAAGACAGGATGAATAACTTGCCAGCATCCACTCACTAAAAACTTTAAAACAAAGAGTTTGATCATGAGATAAAGCAGCCTACAATGGATTTTTCACAGCTTTCGCAAAAAAAGACCTACATAACTGATATTTAATCTCACATTATGCCGTGTTGGTTTTTTGCTCACCTTTGCTGTACAGTATTTGAAGGTGAAGCTAGGGCTGGACAATAATTAAACAGCCATATGTAACGCAACATAATTTATTCAATAATGGTGACATGACATTTAAAAACATTTCCTGTATTTACCGGTAGATGTATACGCTGCGGTCTGTGGGTACAGTGTTTGCGAGTAACTGAGGTTCCAAGCGATTCAAGCCAAACAGAATGATCTGCAGCACATTGGAGCGATAACGTTCACCACAGAGAGGCTGCAGGCTGTGCTGCTCAGCTGCTAAGTTTTAGCTACAAAATGAGCACCCATGATAAGGGGACCATCCCTGCAAATCCTTTGACTTTAACGTCTGATAAATGAGAAAAAAATGGCTGCTGAACTGATGTTGCTCGTTAAACAACAGCTGTTAGAACATTAAAATTATTCAGGCGAATACAAACTTCTCACCACCGATAAGGTGCTGCCCTGTGACAGTATGGAATGTGTGAATTGATTCATTTGCTTTAGACTGAGCTGATCCCTGGTTAGATAAAGATTTAGCTAAAATGT